ACCAGTGAATTGATGTTTAATATTTGTAGTAGTAGTTACGCCACAGTAGGATATCTGTGTTGCGAACCCTAGCTAAACTGTTCCCGTACCCCTGGGGGTACGCGTACCACACTTTGGGAAACACTGGATTAGGGTAATGTGCGTAGAATAGAGCAGATAGTCGCAGATCTCGTTTTAAGGTTAGAAGGTTTACCGCTTATCTAACCTTTTTAGGTTTAAATTTAAAGGTTTTTGCTCAGTGAAAATGAATCTTATTTTGCTATCTGGGATAGAAGAAGGTGGTAAGCAACTCATATCATTATTAAAGGAATCAGTATTCATATGAATAAATCCCGTTTTATTCATATGAATGTTGATTCTCTATCCCTTTCGAGCCGACTGTCACATATATACTTTCGCGCTTTGCGTCGCGAAAGGGCTATATGCTGGCACCTTTTTTCTTTCTTTTTTTAAAACGCTTAAAACATGTCAACTGTTATTTAATGTTTACGTATTTTTGAAGCGAATAAAGTTTTTAATCAGGTAATAATTCCTGAATATTATTTTTTATGTATTGCAAGAATAAAATGAAAATAAAAGCAAATAACAAACCATAGAAATTCCTCTATCTTTATATCTATGCAAAAAAAAAAATATTATGGAATGCAACAACAAAAAATTAAAACTAAACAAAACAATTATATTCATACGAAGTTTGTATTCATGCTAAACTGAAAGCTTTACATTAATTTATGCGATTTAGTAAACAATGAGTATTTCATTTACTCTACTTACAGCATTAATTATTAGGCTTAACAATAGTGCTTGAAATATGAGATCGACATTTAATAACTATTCTAATTAACACCTAAACTAAACTGAATCATGTTCGATAGTATTATTGGGACGAATTTAAGCTGATTTGAGAATAAATTTTGAAAGCAATTATAGAAATGTATTCAAGCACTTTAGACCCAATAGATATATTACAACACGCTTAATTCCATACTGCGTAATACTTAAATAGTACTGGAAGTGTATCAATATATTATTTATTTCCGTAATAAAAAAAAATATCTAGAGAGCAATGCTTACTTTTAGGGAGGTAATTTATTTATTACTTTTTAAAATATTCTTCGAATTAACCTTTGAGTAAATTAAACTTTTTTAAAAGTTTTAAAACACATCTAAATAATTTTCAATAACAATATAATACTTATTTCGCAAATAAAAAAGATATCAAGAGAAGACTTTTGTTGGTGTTGTTGTTTCTAATGGAACTTGCCTCATTAACAAGCCTGCTTGGTGAGACCGAGCAAATTTAAGACAGAGGTTGCGTTTCTTGTCTTAAATTTGCTTTTCAGTGGCACCATCTATGGCCAAGAATTCGTCTTCAGCCGCACACACACGTCACAGCCCGTTTATAGGGCGGACCCATTCATTCATCCATTCATCCACAGATCGTAATTTTGACCTGAAACACTGAACGATCGATCTCCTATCCAGTACCCCCAGAGGTTTTGATTTGTTATGGGAACATGGAGGACTTCACGACTCGACAGATGTAACGTGCATCAGTCGCCATTTAATACACGGGGAGTCTTCGGCCGGCGGGGTTCGAACCCACGAACTCTCGGACATGGGCCCAGTGCCCTACCGACCGGACTATCCCGGCCATTCTTACTTTTAGAGAGGTAAATTGAATTTTTATTTTTCGAAATATTCCTCCAATCTACCTTTCAATTAAATAAAGTTTTTTAAGAACACCAAAAAGCTCGATAATTTTTTACCGAATCGCTTTGGTACTGATTGTGTTAAAATTAACAGTGAAATATGGTTTTATAATATGATTAAACTTAATTTTCAGTTTAATATTTGTTACTAAATGTGTAGTAATAAGAACTAAGATTTTGAGAACCAGAATTTTTATAAACCGCTACCGAAAAAGTTACCAAATGAATGATTTGAATACAGTATATTTTGGTTTTATTACCTGAATTATGATTTTTTTTTTAATTGAAAATGTCTTTAAGATACAGAGCTGTAATTTGATCAGAATTTTTTTTTTCTCCGTGTATATCAAAAAATTTTCTTTTTTAATTCCACGTTTTTCCAAACAAAATGATAGCCTCCCTCAGCTTTACTTATTTTTTTTTCTGAAAAGACCAAATAAATAAAAAAGCTGATATGCTTTAAAAATACTTTGAAACTTTCACGTTAAGAGCTTGTGTTCTATAAAAAGTTCTTAAAGATATAACTTTTTAAATAGATTATGCATGATTTGAATTTTATATTTACTCTAAAGTAGAGACGGGACACCTGGTTTAACAAATTTTCCCACCAAAGCTAAATTTTTATTTATTTATTATTATTATTTTTGAAGAATTTTATAAAACTTTGTATAGTTTTTTCATGTAAAAATATTCTAAAACAAAACATGCTTATATTTTCACTTTTTTCGCTCTCAAACTTTCAAATAAATTGTTTTGAGAGGGTAGCCTCAAATATGCTAATTAGTTAGTAGACGATAGTGTAAATTACGAAATCAGACACAAAAAAGTACTTTTTCTTGTCAGAAAAGGTACTTTTTTGTTCAATCGATTAAACAAACCTTCTTTTCCGACGGATTATGATTTCCAACCCCAAAATATAGGAGATCATAGGGTCGAAAGTTTGGACCTGTAAATGTTAATTTTATTTTTTGCAAATTTCACCATATCTCAAGAACTAGTTAAGGGATTTTGAAAAAAAAACTCACACAATTATAGAATTTGTTTACAAAAAAATAATTCTAATTAATTGTTTATTATTACTTTATATAATAATATTCGAAAAAACTTTTGGAAGGTTGCGTATAAGATATTTTACATCATTTTAAAGAAAGTAATTGTCTGTGGCAAATAAAAATTTTTTTACGAAATCGGTAAAATGCTCTCTAAGAAAGCCAACCGGCCTGTGTTGGGTTTAGGAAACTGCCCTTGCATCAGAAAGATTCTGGGTTCGAATCCCGGTCAAGGCATGTTAAATATTACTTTACTAACTGCTAATGTCATTTCTATCTGAACTAATTTTTAGTGTGAAATGATTTGACTTACCTTGAGCCGGTTCTTTAGAATTATATTTTTATTAATGACATTAACGGCACGAAACACAAAGAAAAAGGTAGAAGATGTAGCAAAAGCATTCAGGCGTCTGGTGCCGCGCAAACATTCGTCAGCGCCACCAGCGGAATACTTCTTAATTATTATTAAATTACAACAAGGCATGAATGTTCTTTCCTTCTCTGTACTATCTGTCCTTACTGTGGAAGCAACGTTGGCCCACCTAATATGGTGCCCCTGAAAGAGAGGTCAACAAAATCGTCCAGTAAATGCCAGAATTGACGAAAATGTTTACACAGCTGGGAATTGGGGGGGGGGAAGAAACTTTCTGAGAAATCGAATTTTTAAAAAAAATAAATATTTAAAAATTTGATATCTCAGAAACTATTGGACCGATTTCGTTACAATTTTGTATTTTGCCTTATAAAATTACGTTTTTTAAAATATTTGCGTAATTAAAATTAAAGAAAATTTAGAATAGGGTGACCACTTGGATCAATCTGTGTAGGGACCGAGGGTATTCTGTATTGGTCCCGTTTAAACTGTTCTACCGTAAAATGCTCGATTTCGCGAGTAGGTCGCCGGGCTACCGAAGCGGGATGCCATCCCCTCTGCAGAGGATCTAAATTGTGATGCCGTGTCCTCGGATCATTCTCGTTGTTGTTATGCTGTTGTTAAATTACGTCGTACTAGAGCTGCACAATGGGCTATTGGTGACGGTCTGGGAAACATCCCGGAGGATGATCCGAAGACATGCCAACACAATTTTGATCCTCTGCGGAGGGGATGGCACCACCGCTTCGGTAGCCCGACAACCTGCGCGTGAAGTCGACCACTTTACGGTAGCACAGCTTAACGAGGATCAATACCGCACACCCTCGGTCCCTACGCAGACTGATCCAAGTAGTCACCCACCCGCTATCATTCTCAGGGATGTTGCCCAGACCGTCGCCAATAGCCCAGTGTGCAGCTCTAGTGTGATGTAAATGAACTACAACAACAGCAGAAAAATTCATATGATAATGCTCTAAAATTTCATGTAATAATACTCTAAAATAATTCATTCCTATATTGTTAAAATCTTAACTTCTGTAAACTTCATCCTATCTTTCACTGTAAGATATGCGAGCTATAAGCAAAATATTGCAAAGAGCTTCAAAAACGTCCGTCAGTCACCGTCATCAACTTGCCTTAGTTATGCTGAATCCCCCAGTTGAAATACCATACCCCTACTCCAATTCCCCCAAACGTCGTCATTCATTTAGACAACTTTGCATTCCAAACCAAGAATCTAGCCCCACCTCAGATAAGAGCCTTATTTAAAGAGTTTCGCTATCGAAACCTTACCAACAGCATTGTTCTGGCAACAGACGGATCAAAACAATTGGACAGAACCAGCGTGGGTATATATTCCTCTAAAGGTTATACGGTCTCTGGCCGAATTCCGTCACAAACATCAGTCTTTACCGCAGAAGGATTGGCGATCTTCCTCGCCCTTAAACATTGTGTTACCAGCTACGAACATTATACCTTGCTAACAGACAGCCACTCAATACTTCAGTCCCTCTCCAAAGGCACTAGAAAATCTCCAAGAATCTCACTACTTCTCCTAGACCAAATAGCCAAATCTAGCCAAATTGCGAAGTCACTCTCATTTATCTGGGTCCCATCCCATACTGGTATTACTGAAAACGAACAAGCTGACCAACTCGCTAAACAGGCACTTAATCAAGATTTTATCTCGCACCTTTCATCACCCCAAGATCTTTGTCAAATGTTTTTGAGAGATGAGCTCAATAAAGAACACAGAGAATGGAAAGAGTGCAAATACTTCCAACCCTTTCCGCACCTCGACGAACCTCAAGGCTACCGCCCACTTATCAAGTCCCGAAAACTAGATGTGTTAATAGCCAGACTCCGAACGAAAACGCTTCCAACTAACGCGATTCTACATAAGTGCAAGTTAGTAGAAAGTCCTAAGTGCCCCAACTGCGGACATATAGACACGAACGAACACTACCTCCTGGACTGCTCTTTTTATCAAAATGCTCGTAAAGACCTCTATCAATCCTTATCCCTGCAGAGCCCAGCTTTCACTGATCTGGTTAACTTGTCTCTCAACTCCCGGACCAAAATCCAATCCCTCTTAAAATTCTTCCAAGCAACTAACAGATTCTAGCAGTTCGCTCCAACCTTGTGCTATCTACCCAGCCCCCAACCTGAAATGAGCCTTATTTATTGAAACGCAGAGCTATAAGCGATAAGCAGAGAGCTCGCAGCACTTAACTATACTCAATACTCAATACCCCAGTTGAAATTTTAAAACGGCGATTTGAAATATATTATACCACACACAATGAGTATTTGCTTGAATATGGACAAAATGCCAATGATAGTTGGGAAACGGAGATGCAAAAGACCTTATTGCTCAGACACAGTTTTCTTGAATCTAAAGCTAAAAACAAAATAAATTATCATCGTTCATTCTAAGACTCAGATAACAACAAAACACTTATGGCAAGCTTTACTTCAATTTGCTACTAACAATAAGTAAAAACCATGTTTTTTTGAGTTGTTATCATAACTTTGAAGTGCCAAAATTTGATATCGTGATGTATTTTTAAAAGATATCGATCATTTAACAATGTATCTCAATATTTTTTTAATCCAAATAAAATTTGATGAGATTGTGATCTGTGGCAGAAGAATCAACTCAAAAGGTATAACTCGTAGCCACCCCTGGACAGACCTCTACATGAATTTTTTTTAAAAATTTGCAAGTTTAAAATTAATTTGGCGATGGTAGTTGGTGTGACAGATCACAATACTGAAATATCCGTCAGCCATTTTGGCCAACACAAAAGTCATTTTCGTGTTATCCAAATTTACTTTTACATAGTGATTTAGGGAATATTTCCGCTCCAACTACAATCCTCAAGATTCCAAATAGATTTAAAAAAGAAAAAAAACTGTGGATGCTTGACCTTTCGTTAATATTTTTTTTAGTTTCTCATGGGCCACAGCCCGGAAATTGCTAAGACTTGGTGATTATTCTGCCACAGATCATGATACGGAAATCACCCCGTGATTTTTAAAGGCAGTAGTTGTCATCATTAAGGATCACAATACTGTCCCATTTGATACATGTTTGTTAATTATTGGTAACCTGTCACCTATATAAGTAAAATTTGACCTTGTTACCACATATTAGGAAACATGGTACTAAAACTGATAAGTAACCGTTGTTTACATTATGCTTATTAAATGAAATATGATAACTTTTGAAGTCAGCATGCTGGTCTTAATATTCTTAGAAATATTTCCATAACTGCAATTGTTTGTGCTAATACAGAGGTCTGTCCAGACATTTTGTAAAAGGTCCTGTTTTTGTAAAATTGTGAAAAAACTACATAATTTGTAATTATAAAAGAAGTGTTAAGTCACATTCTTTGAACCAGGGTTCTCCTTTTTGGAATTTGTGCAAATAGGGTCCTGTTATTGCAAAAAATGATAAAAACCTTTTTAAATTGTAAATAATTACAAGATTCTGCTCAACAATTTCCGCTACTAAATTAGAGATGCAACATACAAATATTTGGTATTTAGCCTATAGTGCTCAACACAGAATATTCATTTCAGACGAATAATGGAAACAAAGTCACTCACATTTCTAATAATTTCAATTGACATATTTTAAATAACACAACTTAGTCATGCATCACTTTTAATGTGTTGCGCTTTGAGTAAACTTAAACAATTCTTAAATTTATAATATTTTATTTAAAAAATTGCCAGAAATTAATTTTTATTTGCATAATATTCTATTAATTAATTTTATGAATAAATATAAATTGATCAATTATTTATTTACAAAAAAACATTACAATTTAATATCAATAAGAATGCACACACGATGTTTGTAGAAGTAGAAATATTTTCTTAGAATACTACATTTGAAATTTAAACTTAGAAAAATCTGAAAAACTTTCAAATCGTCTTTTTTTTTCCTGGGAAGGATTTATTCGATTAACAAAAGAATAATGAAGGTAAACAAATTTGTGAAGGGTCTGATTAAAAGATAAATTATTTTGTGAAGGGTCTGCTTTTATGAAAAGATATTTTGTGAAGAGTTCATTAACGGACTCAAATTTCTTCTAAACAGACCCCTTTAATAGACTTATCTAATGTGTCAAATGAAATTGCCTGGTTCTTGAATTAAAAACAAAATTTTTTAAAAATGCTATTTAGTCAATTTCTTAGATTTGATTGCACCTTTTGTGATTCCATTTTGTTTTGTGTTTTAGGTTTCTTTTCTGCCACCATTGGCCAGGGGAGATTTTCATATTGGTGTCTACAGCAAAATAATCGCCAACATTAGTAGCCCGTAAGGTAGTGGCTTCCAGGTAGTGGCCTGTAACCTGCAAGAAACTAGGAAACAATGCAGAAGTAGACCAACTTTCACAATATAACTTCTACCATGTAAAACTTAACATGTTTTGTTTGTTTTACAAGCAAATTTCAGGGGTGGTTATATTCAGGCAGTACCCCGAAATCCATGTGTTTTGTATCAACCTTCCAGGTCTAAAAATGAATAGTCGGGCAAATGATTTTTCTAGGAATATCACGGGAATCCATGTTTCTTGATATTCTTTGTTGGTAGATAATTTAACTATTAATCTTATTTCAAAAAATTATGTTAAATGGAAAGATGTATTGTATGTAAAGTGATATCTTGCACATAAGATTTTCAGGGTTTTTGACTTTGTGTCACAATCCCTCTGAAATTTAAAATCGCTTTGGAAATTTTAATTGACCATTACAGAAATATTATCATTGATAAAAACTTTGCAACCATTTTATCTCAGATACCAATACAGAAATCTTCATACTTTCTTAACATGCCAATTACAGTGTTAAAGATTTTTGATTATTAAGTTTAATTGAAAGGTTTAATTGTTCTCCCTCTATAAACTTTACAGGAAGTGGAAATTTAAACATTATCTTAAACACTATTGTAAATTTATTCTAACAGACCTTTTTTTTTCATGAACCATTTTTTTCTCTGTAAAACTTTTTTCTGTGTGACCCAATTCAAAATATTCTCATAACTAAAATAACTTTAGCAGCAGTACTCTTAAGTACATGTTTTTTTATTAAATTCAAGTTGAAATTTGACTATGGACAATGATTTTTATGGACTTTGAAATTTGGATATAATTTTTAGTCCAAAATTTTACAATAGCAAAATAATTTTTGAATATATGGGGGAAAATATATAGAAATTTACCATTCATAAATGATTTTTTTTTTTGTAGAGACAATTTTTGAAAATATTTTCTTACTTGACCATATTTTTGTGTTGATCTTTAAATATAATTTTTAATTTTCACAAATTATGTCTAAAAATAGGTACCTCTTATATAGGTACCTCTTAAAAGAAACCTAGACAGACCCCTGTCATCCAATATAAGACTAGTATATAGAAAAACAAAAAAGGGCACAACCTGTACCTTAAATAAGGAATCAGGTCACTTGTCCAGCTGACTGTGGCCTGTCAGAGAAAAACATGTCTAATAGGGCGGATGTCTGTCTCTAACAGTTTACACAACTCTTGCATCAACATTTTATACTGTTTATAGTGTGACAACTCACAACTGTACCCACTCTTGCACCAAGTTTTATCATCAATCTTTTTTCAATTGTTGCTACGAATTTCATGTTTTTTAAAATAATTTTTTTAATATGTTAATGACTCGAAAAGTCTGTAAAAGGAGCAATATGTAATTTTTTTCAAACTACAACTTCCATGTGTCGAGAAGAAAAAACTTTTTACATATTTTTTTTTTGTTTTTGTTTCCTCTTTTAATTATATAAATGTTATTTTTATGCACAAAAATGAGTCTTTATCGAGGTATAAAATGGAATATAAATAAATAATTAAATATTAAAAAATAAGAAACTACTCGTTAAAAAATAAATTCAGATAAGTTATTCTACCAGCAGTTACATATCTGATAACCTACTGACTGAAGTTGTCTTCATTAAGTAAATATAATTCCACAACCTTGTGGCACACCCTAACAAAAATATTTCCTTTTGTTTGATTTGTTCAATTTCAATGTCAGGATTAGTAACACTGTTTGATTTTATTACTTTAAATACATTATGTGATAGGAGTTTAGCTTTGTATAACCACCTCTAACTTTCATACCAATAAAATCTATGTTCAATTGAAATTGTAGTGCATCTACCACTACAAAAATACAATACCAATTCACTAGTATATAAGACAAGTTAACTCGATTCTATGGTGGGATACCTTTTCATAGACCTTTTCAATAACAACTCTCCCCTCAAACTTATTAATGTGAGACAAAAAAAGATAAGAAAAAAAAACTTAAGGTTTTTGCAAATTTAGAGAAATGGAATGGCAAGGGAATTTGCATTGAGGTATTGCTGAATTATAACTAAGAAATATTATTTGTATTACTGTTTGCAATAAAGCATTTCCTTTTTATTACATTCAGGTCCATTTAGAAACTTTCCTGGAAGCAATGGAACCCCATATCCACCATGTCTGCTCCTTCTATTCCAACGTCCACTCTCTACAGTCAACCAGTTCAAAGGCAACCTTTTTCATACATGAACTGAAGAAAGATTGCTGAAATCCTTTGACCATTAAAGAAATGTAAGGTTATTGATTTTTTTAAATTATTAAAAAAAAAACAATTTATGCTAAGCAAGATTTTGTTTAAGGAAATTTAAAATTTATTTATATATTTTTAATTAAAAAATTATTTTTTTACTATCACATTGACTATTTAATTCATAATGTTGCATATTTTTTCTATTTATACATTGTTTGGTGCACTTCTGCTTTTTTGTATTATGGTCAAATGCATCCCCGAAAAATACTTTTTGTTTATTTAGTGCAAAATATAAATATAATTTTAAATTATGCTTCGTATAAATATAAAAATAAATCTAACTCTTAAATTTACTGAAGAATAAAAAATGAGGGAAATATAAATTTTCTATCTCAGATTTATACTTATTCATGAGATATAAAATTTTCTTAGTCTGCTTTCCTTTGCTAGTAAATTTATTAATTAAAGTCAATTCCTTGTAAAACGTTGTTTAAAATTTTATTTAAAAAAAGAGAGAGATATACATACTTATTTAAAACAAAAAATAGTTCATTATTTTTAAATACAAAATTTTTTAAAAAAATGTTAGTTATTTTTTTTAATTCGAAAAATTTAATGAACTTTAGCATAAATTGAATGCTTTCATACCAATTTCATTACTTTCCCAATTCAATCACACATGTTTTTTTCATTTAACTCTGCATCTTAATCCCCTTTTTTTGTCATCTTTTCTTGTGTTGTTTTTGTTTTGCATGTATGGAAAACAGAACTTACAACAGGTATATATGTACAGGCAAAAAAAATTTAAAAAGTTTTTTAGCCTTTTTTGGAGATTAGCCTATATAAATGTTCGCCCCGTTAACAGAAAATTCTAAAAGACTTATAATAAAATAACTGTGTTTATAATTGTTTTCTATTACTGCATAACTTTCATATTTGCAAAAAAATTTAAAATTTTTTTTTAGCCTTTTTTGGAGATTAGCCTATATAAATGTTCACCCAGTTAACAGAAAATTCTAAAAGACTTATAATAAAATAACTGTGTTTATAATTGTTTTCTATTACTGCATAACTTTCATATTTGCAAAAAAATTTAAAATTTTTTTTTAGCCTTTTTTTGGAGATTAGCCTATATAAATGTTCGCCCAGTTAACAGAAAATTCTAAAAGACTTATAATAAAATAACTGTGTTTATAATTGTTTTCATTACTGCATAACTTTCATATTTGCAAAAAAATTTTAAATTTTTTTTTAGCCTTTTTTGGAGATTAGCCTATATAAATGTTCGCCCAGTTAACAGAAAATTCTAAAAGACTTATAATAAAATAACTGTGTTTATAATTGTTTTCTATTACTGCATAACTTTCACATTTGCAATATTATGAATGTCTAAGAATTACATTTGTTTAGAAAGTTGATTAATTTTTGTGTGTGTGATTGTAGCAGTAATTCTATATAAGTATATTTACACTTAACCGAGAAACATTTTCATGCATGAATATCTTAATGAATAGCTCTTGAAGTATAAATTAATGGTAGTGGCACATTGTAAGTATTGTATCCGTCTCTTCTGAATTATTCTATCATCTTAAGTTTTTTAATCAAATAAAATTTTCCAGCTAAGATTTTGTAACAAGTCAGTTAATTCAGTTGGTGCCTATATATATTTTGAAAGCATACTTTCAAATTAAGCATGTTAGCAGTAACTTTCATAAATATTCTTCTGAAGTGGCATGAAATGTGTGACATTAACTCAATTATAATAAATAATGTAAATGATAATAAAGTATAATAAAGTAAATGATAAGTAAATAATCTAATCAGATGTTTACAAACAAAATTAAAAATTATGTAGTATATTTACAGGGTAACAGTGCACCTAAAAAGTCATGGAAAGTCATGAATTTCGGCATTAAACAAAATTTGTCATGACATGTCATGGTTTTAACTATTTTTTTTTAAAAAAAATCATGGAAAGTCATGTATTTAGATCACCCTAAAGTCTAATTTTCAAAATGGAATTTACCCCACCCCCCAACTTCATGGTGTACTGAATATCTGAATTTGTAACAAAATCCTTACTCACAGTCATATTTTATTAAAATGTAAAATGTTTTTATAATATTCTTTAAAAATTATGGTGTTCTTTTACAAAAATGAAAGAAAAAACATCATTTCTAGAGCAAAATATCTTTTAAATTTCTGTGATTTCAGAATTTTTGTTATTTATTTTTTTGATTTTATCATTTTAAAATTCTAGCTGAAGCAAGCCAGTGATTGGCGAATTTTTTTATTTCGAAATGAGAACAGAAAAATCAGGAGTATTTTTTTCCTTTCCGATGAACAAGAAAAGTATCTTTAGAATGTAATTCTGCAGAAAAAAAAAGAAACAAATTATTTGCTTTTTTATTTTTTTCAGCTATTTTATTGCTTCAACTCTTTCTTTACTCTGTTTTTTAAACTTAAAATAAATATGAAGATGCACTGTATAACTGTTTTAGTTGTACCTATCATTTCAATTAATGTTATTATAATGCTCTTTTAAATTTATTGTTGTGCTTTTGTCAGAGAAAATAGTAACTTTGTGAAGTTATGAAAAATTCTTTGAATTTGTCCTGGAAAGTCATGAATTTGAAAATCTAAAATGTAGCAGATACCCTGTATTTATTAGAATAAATGAAACCCTTTTCCAGTTCTTCTTAACTTGCAGACATCTAATGTATGCCTTGATTTTCCTATCTTGTCTGACGTGTGCCTGGGCAGCAAAATAAATTGTCCCGCATATAAAATAAGATTAAAAAAGAGACTAAGTTTTACATTTTTGATGTGTAAATAAGTGTTTAAATACTGATTTCTTTTGGCCAACTTTACATATTTAAACATGTTGAGATGAGTTATTAAATAATACATTTGTTTACTCATAATTAAAAATGACCTTTATACAACAATTTAGATAATTTAAATTTAGAATGATTCAAGACTCATAGTTTTTTTTTTTTTTTTTTTTTTNTTTTTTTTAAGATACTCATTTTATATCACTTTGTTTTATAAACTGTATTGAAAAATTGAATTTATTGTTGTGAACATATTTTATTTCAAATGAAAGGGATTTATTTTAGAAATTTGTTTACTGAAACGAATTCAAGAAAGTTTTGTTTCAAATAAAATCTAGAGCAAATATTACATGAAATGATTTGAAGATTTATAGTTTCAAAGCCCAGTTTTCTAAATGAACAATTTTGTTCACTTATTTTTATTACTTTGTTCATTTATTTTTAGTACTTTTTTCACTTATTTTTATTTAAAATTTAATGAAAATTTGAATTTAATTATTTTTTTAACCGTTGTAAACTAATGTTTTTAAAAGCATTTCAAATAACATTTGTTCTAATCTTTATTCTTGACCAATTCTTTTAAAATAATTTGAAATTATTTTTGAAAAATATTGAAATCATTTTTACGAAAACTTTAAATGTAATAATTTCTTTAGCTAGGTATAAATGCTTAATTTTTTTATTGTTTTATTTATTTTCTTTCATTTGGTAAATAAACTTTATTTTGTGCGTACAAAACTGACTGAAACATTGTATATTTAGCATGCAAATTTAAAGGTCATCTGTCACCTGCTACTGAATCTAATGTGATATTCTTTTAAATTCCTAGGTGTACAGTAATTAACTACGATCAAACTGTTGTGGATGCGATTTTGCCTAAAATGGAAGTGTAGCGTATCTACCACTACAAAATTACAACTGCATTTCACTAGTATATAAGACATGTTAACTCGACTCTATGTCGGGGTACCTTTTCATAGATGACGGTTGACATGGTCTGTAACTACTCTCCCCACAGAAGTAAAAGAAGCTCAATTAACTGAAGATGATGCATTTTTCGCCTCTAGAAAGGAACACCATAACTCAAAAACCATTAAGAATGTTCTTCCTTCAGATGGTTTACAAAACGACTAGGTACAATTCCAATACAAGATGTGTATGTACAAATTAGTAAGTTATTTTGCCTGTATGTATTTTTCAAAATCAATAATAAAAGAATACCAATATAAAGTGCTTCTTTTAATTTAATGAATCGTGTAGAATGTTGCTTCAGGGTAGAGAAGGATGGTAACAAGAATATCTTCTTCTTCATCTTTGTCAGTGCAACAGCCCCTTGCAGGCCTTGGCTGCCTCAACAGCTGACAAACGCCAGTGCCTCCTATCCATGGCAACTCTCTTCCAATTTCTAATCTTTAGGGTTTTTAATCATTGGGATATGTGTATCAAGATTTATCAGAGATCTCCAGACCAGCAATCAATGTGTATCAGGATGATCTATATTGTTTTTTGTTTTGTCTTTGTTTTTTATTTAACATAGCATATTTAACATTTTTTGTATTGTAATTTTTTTATTTAAGCTCACTTTATAACTTTTTTAAAAGAAAAGAAATTATAGGCATATAAACGGACCTATGAAAATGTGTACAAACTAATAAAATCTTTTTGATAATGTTCCTTAAGGCCTGTGACAAAATGTTTGAATAAAACTCAAAAGTTCTTGAATATTAAACAGTTAGTAAATCTGAATATTTTGTACCCTGAGCCTTTTGATTTACCCAATTTAAATGTAAGGCTTTCAACATCTTTTTTTTTAAATTACAGATTGGAACTAATTGTCTTAGTAAATAGTATTCTTTTTAGCATCTCTTACATACAAAGGTAGGTGATTAATATTTAATGGGAAGAAAAATGCTGAGTTTAAATAAACTTAACTAAATTTTTGTTCACATTTTTCTTCAATCTCAATTAAAGTGAAAGTTATATCGTTTATTACGCTATGAAATTTTAAATATTGAATCGATATTCTCTTGAATGATTTCAACTTTTTTTTTTTAGTTATTACACCTAAATGTGAAGAGTAATTATTTTATCTATTCTTTCAAGAAAACTAAATATTTTTGAAAAAGAATAAAAAATAAACCTGAAGTATGTTTTTGTTTACCCTAACAAAATTTATAAGTATTAGTTTTTGTTAATTCAAATTTTTCAAGTTCTAGTAAATTGTGATTTCAATCAAAATTTCAAACTAATAAAATTGTACCCTAATTTACAAAATGTAGCTATAAATTTTTTTTAAGATTTAAAAAAAAAATTTAGTTGTAAGATTGTTTCTTAGCTGCATACTTGAATTGCAATCATTTACATCTGCCTAGTTAACTTACAAGTAGCTTGCTTAGAGATATTTTCATCAATTAAAAATTTTAATTGTTTTCATAAGTCCTTTTTTTTGTTACATAAGTAATAAACATTTGTATTTTGCATTAAAAACAAAAATTATAAAATTAAACAAAAACAAAGAAATATAAATGCAAATGGTGCTATTTTTTTAAAAAAAAATCATGCATTTGATTTTATAAAAATCTGTTTTTGTATTAAAATCAATCAATCTTAGAATTAAGCAGTTTGAAATTGCTGTTTTAAAATTATTTGAAACAGAGCAATCTTTCAAAATTTGGGGGTTTTAATAATTATTTCAAGATATTAATGCCTTGTTTCATATCTAGTAATCAGTTATTTTACATTTTTTAAATATATTGCATTTACTTTGAATTCTAAAATTTATTGTATTTATTTTTTAATTCTGATTATAATTTAAATTAAAAATTAACAAAATTGTTCAAAGAACAAAATTTTGTTAAGTTGTCCTGAAATTATATGTTATATATTTCATAGTAAAGCGTTCCCCCAATAGATAAGATGCTTTTAATTGTCTTTATTAAATTTCCCAAATAAACAAGTGCTGAATGTTTACTCTCCTGTGAATATCTTTCAAATTATGAAAAATATAATGTCATCTAATAATTAGAATGGAAGAAATATAATGTGTGTTATTCAAGAATTTGAATTGATTCTTTTCTTTCTTTCTTTTCCTTTTCTTTTTGTGAACAAAATTGCACAAACTCTATTCTAAAGTCAGCATTTTTTGTCTGTTTTTTCAATTTTCGATATATCTTTATTTTAGAGATATTTATGTTAAAAGAATTTTGTCAGTATCATATTGTTGTAAACTAAAATAAAAGGTGAATTTTAAAAACATCTAATCACCGACAAATGTACAGTACTGAATTGTTTACTATGTAAATTCAAAGCTTTACATTTTAAAGAAGGATGCCATAGAATTTCCAAAAATTATCAATTGCTATTTCTCCTTATCAAGTGAAGTGACCCTTTATCACTTATTTTTTTTTTTTTGGAAAAGAAGGGTAAAATTTCTCAACTGATATTCTTTCATCAAAAATTAAACTTTAAATACAAAATGGCAAGGAGAAAGTTTTCTTACTTGTGAAAAAACATTATAATTTTAACGACAGAAGAGTTTATGTCCGCTTGAAAACTGCATTTCATTCTTCATAAAATATTTTTCTTGAACCAAATATTTATATCTTTCAAAATCCAAATATTTATCTTTATCTATGTAATTCTATTTATAAATATTGTAAAATCTTGTTATTCAAATATTAATCTCTCTTTTAGTTCAATCCCCTGGCAAGTATGGGATATCTCCTTGCAGTAGACAAAGTGCAGAGCAGTACAGAGTGAGTAATTTAATTATTTTTCGTACTGAAAATTATATTTGTTTTTAAATTTTTTCTATAATAATAGTGTACTTGACTTTTTTATTATATTATTATAGTTTATTTTATTATTTTCTTGTTGACTTAGAATAAACATAAGCATGGTGTGTAGCGTTTTTAAAAAGTGCTTAAAGGTGCTTATTTTCGATTTTCCTTATTTAAAAACCCTTTAAGGTGCTTTTTTCATTGTTTTTTAAAAAGTGCTTAATTTTTCCTTTTCGAAAATGAGATTTTTTTTCTTCACCAAGTTCATTTTCGCCGCGTATTATGCAAAAGTATGCTTTTCACATTGTTCCATTCAACGTTTTCTCAATTCATTCAACCACAATCCATTTCAGCGTACTGCTGGTCCATAGCGTTTGAAAGCGCCAGTCATTTTACATGTTTGATGAATTACTTGCGAGTCTGTATATGCTTCTACTCAGCTGACTCTGGTGAGATTATTGCACTCTCGTGTGCAACTCTACCGTATTTTGCAAGATATTCTCAATTTCAAACTTTGTTTTCCACCCTCTGATATGGAACAAAGAAATCTCTTGATTTTACAATGGCTAATGTAATCAAGAAAAGGAATTGTTGGTCAGAAACTAGTTATTTTATTGTGATCATTTAAAGTCTTTGAAAATTATTTTGCATTTTGTTAATGTATATAGTGTTTAAAAATATTTTTGAATGCTTAAAAAGTACTTAAACAGTGCTTATTTTTTGTTGAAAGATTTGTCTACGCTCCCTGATAAGTAAATAAAATTTACGCAAAAAATCATTTAAACAGTGTATTAGTATAGTGTATGTTTTTAAAATCAAACAGTGGTCAAAACTATTTTACTATAATCGTTTATTGACATAAAACTATCCAAAATTCAAAAATTGATATACAGTATTTATAATAGATATATTTACAACAACAGTGCTGTAAAATCTTAAAAACTCCAGTCATTTTAAGTTTAAAAAATATAAATTAACAATTCAGATACTTCCAAACATAAATATATGAGTTACCTGTTCAAAATTAGAAACAAAGACTAATAGTATAGTAAATACTTAACTTCTGTAGAAATGATTAAAAATAGTATGATTTAAAAGAAGGAAAATTATTGCTTTGTGTAACATAACACATAAATGAATGGCTTAAGATACTGATGATTGAAAATTAACACAGATCAAAAATTTCTTTCTTTTCAATGGTTTTTTCTTTATTATGTATGACACTCTTCTGTTTTTAACATGTTTCTGTTCCTGTTTCCTCTTCTGCTTTTAACACGTGTCTATGATTTACTGAACAAAGTTTTGATTGCAATCTTTTGCTTTCATTCTTATTACAGGCATTTCTAAGTCAATCAGATTGTTAATATTTTTGATTAGTAATATATTTTATAATCAATCAATACAAACATGTTAATACATGAATCAATTGGAAATACATATTAAATAACATGAATTAACCCCAAATAACTAAACATTTCCCTTATTGACATCAGACATTTAATAATTTTGCAAAATTAAACTGTTACTATAACATTTTAGCATTGTTACTGTAACACGGCAACAATTTTAAAAAAATTATCGTAACTCTGTAATTGTAAATCACTTATCTTTATGAAAATGTAACAGTGTTTCTCTTATGCTATGTCAATTTTTTTTACTTAAATAAATAAAATATACTAGACCCTGCTATTGTCATGGAAACTATTAACTGGAGAACTATTGTCATAGGAAGGGCCCAGTTAAAAATCCTTTAAAAAAGTCTAGGTCTTTTTTAAACAGTTTCAATAGTTTTTCAAATAACATATTTTAATCTTGTGCTAACATTTGAACTAAACATTTAAAAAAATTAAATAACTAAACATTTGAAAAATTAACTCCCAACTTATATTAGTTTTTTAAAATCTGGTTCTTATCATAAACGTGTAAAATTTTCAAAGATTACAAATGTACCATTATAGTTTGTCTACGGTAAGAACTTCCCTCGACACAGAGTCTGAGAACGCCTGCTGCTATGGAAACAAGAGTAGCACATTTCAGGGAGGGTAGCTTCTCTTCACTCTAGGGCTAACAAAATTGACCAAAGAAAAAGATTCCCTTTCTCTCACTGACCCGAGCCAAAACTTGTCCTAAATAATGACCCCACACACCTGCTTGAAATGGTTGTGCCTCATTACCATAGTCACCGCCAGGGGTCCAGACAAATGGCATGGGGAGTTCTTACTTTAGACAAACTATATGTCATTGTTCTTTATTTTTATTAAAAAATGTAATAGTATTTCTCTTTTAGAAAAAATGAAGAAATTAATCATCAAATAATTATTATAAAAGAAAATAATAAAAGACAATAATAATGCACACTTTTTAATGTTTTACTTTTGGCAGAAATAAGCACTAATTAAATAATTGGAGTATATTTATATTTAAGAAAATAGCTATTCTAAGAATCAAAGTGTAAACTATGATTTTGAAAAAGGCTCTTTAAAAATTGAAAATAAGACTTTTTGTGTCTTGTTAAAAGGAAATCCCAATAATGTAAGATATATGTTTATCATTTTGAATGTAAAAATAAGCTTGTTTTAAATTCCTAGTTAGTTACTGAATAATGCTGGCAAATTTAGAATTTATGATGAAAAAGAAAGGATTTTCTTAATTTGAGTGTAATTTGATATTGCAAATGAACTAACAAACTTTATATAATGCCCTCATATAAAATAATTTTTTCTTAAGAAAATGTTTTTTTCAGTAAAAATTTCATTTTTTTTTTTTTTTGGCAAAAATAGTGAGATATGTACATTTTTCAGGAGTTTGAAAGATAACCCTTGTTGTCACAATTGCCTCTTTTCTTATCCTAACATGGTATGTGTCGGCTGCATTTTGACTTTGAAGTTTTTGTTAATCAAACCTACCAGCTTATAAGTTGCAGGTAAGTTTTTCATGCTGATAACTTCATAACAGGGGTGATTGTACTCCGGGGGTGTCCCGGAATTCCGAGTTTTTTGTAAAATTCTTCTGGGTTCAAAAACCAGAAGTAGTGCATGCTAGTTTTGCGTGAATATCACAAAATTCAGCATATCTCAAGACCATTGGTTCACTGACTTTGCAAATCAAAAACTTATAATCCGACAGAAATTTGAAGATTTTGCTAAATCCCCTTAATGAGACGTTCATATGCATTCTTCCACCAATTACGTAAAGAATTACGTCCTATGCGATTCTTCCGCCAATTTGATTGTTTTGGTTTGTCGGATTTTCACCATTTTGAATATTTGGAACAGTGCCTTAATCTGCTAATATCTCGAATCTTATTAATGTGATGTTAATATCAAACATTGATTTTTGTATTTACCAGATTTGAAAAATTACATATTGCAATTCGTATTCACGAGATTTAAAAATCCAATATCGTGACTTGTATTCACACATTTGTAATATCAAACATCAATTTTTGAATTTTTAGAAGTAATTTAAAAACTATGCATTGCGATTCGTATTCACACTATCTAAAAATTATGCACAGTGATTCGTATTTTAACGATTCAAAAATTCAATATTACAATTTGTTTTTTAAATCAAATATTACGATTCTTGTAAGAAGTAAGTTTTTTTCTTCTTGAATTAGTTACTCTAAAGGTGTGATATGTTTTGCATTAGTACGTAATTTAATTATAAATGCAAAAAATTATGTTAAATATGAAGTCTATAAAGTGATTTTTTGCCCATAAAATTTTCAGGGTTTTTCACTTTCTACCACAATCACCCCTGTTCATGCACAAGTAAAAAAAAAATTATCTAGGGTTGTTTAATTTTTTTTTATCTAATTCATGCCTACTTTTATTTAAAACTATGTGATTAATAACATACTAATTTGTGCATTTTGTAATATCTCTTGGGTTCACTTAAAACATTGTAAAGAGCAATCCAGGAAATGTTTTCAAGCCGTATGCTTTAAAATAACCCTGAATTGTCTTTGATGTTCTCTAAATTTATACATTTTCATAATATTTATAAAATATTTATGTATTTATGCAGAGACTAAAAAATATGACACTAGAAAATGTGCCTCTTTAGTTTTAATAATGTAAATTACTCATTTATAGAAAATGTAAATTGATCCTATTTATTTTGAGAAGGAAAAGAATTAGTGTATATTAAACAAAAAAGCTTGCAAGCTAACTAGAGTATTTTGTTCTCATGCAATCAATATTTTATTTCATTGCATAATTTTGTGTATAACACTTTAAATTTCAATATATTATATTTTAACAATGCTTTGAGCTGTACACTATTTTGTGAAAAATGTTGATCGGAAATGTATAAGAAGTTATTCACTGTGTTATTTCCTTAGTGTACAGTTCTTCAAAAAATATAGGGCTAAGCAAGACTAATATCTAAACTTTCACTGTTAGTTTTTAATTGTACAGTCTAAGCCAGACTGAGAAATATTATAATTCGTGTTTTAGTTTGGTCCAACTCTTAATGGGTAAAACGGAAGAAAAAATTGAATATATTGTAAGTAAAATTGTAATAGCCCCAATGAACAAGTTGACGTTATTTTTTTTATGCATAACTTTGTTCCAATTAAAGGGGAATGTGATTATTTAAGTATTAAATATAATTAAAAAAAGTTTTACTAACAAACCAATACCAATAGAATACAGTAAACCGATATTATTAAAATATATTGAAACAATATTCTTAATTTAATCTGTGGTACGCTAAAATTTCAAAATCGAAGACGGAAGACACAAGAATTCTAAAAGTTTTTTTTTAAATAACGTTATAGATTCTGTAAATATTCAACAAAACCAAGTCAGTTTTCTAAACATAATATATGGGGAGAATTTTCAGGCATGTGCAGGGGTCTGTCCAGGGCAAATTTACTGCTGTTTAACGGTACATACAGGGAGTACATACGGTACATACAGGAAGTCAAAATTCGAACTTCATTCTAAGCATTTGAACATTATTTCTTACATTATTATAAATGTATTCTAATTGACCTTTATTTTTTATGAATTTTTTTTTTTCCTATGAAACTTTTTTCTGTATGACCTAGTCAATGTTTTCATAGTGAAAATAACTTGTAGTTCTAGTTCTGTTATATGCAGTAAGTTGAAATTTAACTATGAACAATGGATTTTTTAATTTGGATACGATTTTTAGCTCAAAATTTTACAATAGCAAATTTATTTTTTAATATATGGGGAAAAATATATAGAAATTTTCCAGTCTTAAATAATTTTTATTTGTAGTGACAATTTTTGAAAATAATTTCTTATTTCACTATATTTTGGTATTGATATTTTTGATGTAACTTTTAATTTTTACAAATTATGTCTAAATTTTCAAAAAAACTTAGACGGACCCCTGATGTGATATGATTGGTTATTTTAATAGTATTGCTTTACCAATATTATTAAAATAACCAATCGAATGCAGTAAACAAATATTATTAAAAAATATTGGAACAATATTCTTAATTTAATCTGTGACATGCCAGTATTTTAAAATCAAAGACGGAAGACACAAGAATTCTAAAAGTTCTTAATTAAAAATAACATTTTATATATTCTGAAAATATTCAACAAATTTCAAGTCAGTTTTCTAAATATCATATATACCTTATGGTGCCAATATTCAGGCATGTGATTCTTTCGCTAATTTGCAGAATTCTGAGAATCTCAAAATTATTTATTCACACACTTCCGCAAATCAATAATTTACATTCCGGCAAAGTTTCTGCAGATTTAAAATCTGAATTTTGTTACTTAATGCAAAATCTCGTTAACGGGGCATTTATTCTGCCTTTACCAGCACCCTTTTATTTTTCTTCTTATGTTCTCATTCATGCGCAACAAATTTCTTTTACGCAGATTTATTTGCAAAAAAGGCAACTTTATATAAATTTTGAGAGAAAATTCCATATTATTTTCAGTTAGAATTAATGGACTACTGAGGTAAACATAAAATTATAAAATTGGTAATCTTAAATTTAATTCCAAAATGGCAAACGTTTAAAAGATTATTCGCCAGAAAAAATGGCTCATTTTTAAAAAAAAAAAAACTTATATTTTAACAAGTAGCAATTTTGTTGAAATATCAGTTTGTGAAAGAAGAATTATTTAATCAATGTGATATATTTTTTCTTTTTTTCATTTAGTTACAATTAGATTGTATTAACTTTTAATATAATATTGCAACATGCAAATTTCGATTTGTACATTTCATAAATAACTTTTCAACACATTCCGTAACATCATAAATCCTTGTTTTGATCGTTTTTTTTTTTTTAAATTGCAGTTAATGCAATTGATTTTTTCAATGTTTAAAATTCCGATATTATTACAATTTTCAGAGTTTGAAATGCGCATTTAAGTAATAACTTTTGATACGCTCAATTTGCATCCATACCATTGTACATTTATGCTATGTTTTGATGGTTTTAATAGCTACAAATTTTCTCAATGCTTTTTTTTAAATCCTTAAATTTTTTATACATCATTATTACAACAAGCAAAATTCAATTCATTAATTTATTAATGACTCTTTTATGGGGCAATACCACTATTTTTTCAATGGGCAATTTCAAAGTTATTTCTACTAATATTGTTAGGGGCTTTTAAATCATATTTTCATACGATATTATTTAGAAACAAGAAATTAGAATGAAGATTTCCAATTAGAGTTTTTTCTGGCCGTTATTACTGTTGATTTTCACATATTATTTTTAAAAACCTGTCTTTATTATGATACGGCAAATTTAAATCATACAACTGAATATTCACTATTCGACGTAATATTTCTGTCATTTTTTTTTTCAATCAGCAGTTATCACTATTGAATTTTGCATATTTTTCAATAATGTTAGTTATAATATAAAATTGAATCTCAAAGCATACATTTAATTATCCCTTTTTTGTGTGTCTGATTTATGTGTTTTTACCGTAAATACATGTGGTTTTATCAGCAATCTTATTTCAGTTATTGTCATAAATTTCACAATTTTTATAATCCTTTTTTTTTAATGTGATGACAACTCGCAAAGTGGGAAAAACGAGGAATATGTATATATTTTTTATGTGTAATAAGGTATAAAAAACTTATTAGATACATTTTTTTTTGGATCTTTGTTTAATTATTTTCTGTGTACAAAAAAAAAAAAAACATGGAGAAAAATAATTTCTTCCTTCAATCACAGGTTTGAATATTATATATAATTTTTTCGATATATATATATTATGTGTTAATGAGAAAAAAAAGAGAAAAATGGTTTTAGGTAATTATTTCCAACAATCATATGTCTGAATATTCTATGTAATTTTTCAATATATATATACACAGGGGACATTTTGTAAAAGGTCCTGTTTTTGTAAAATTGTAAAAAAACTACTAATAATTTGTGAACATAAAATAAGCGTTAAGTCACATTCTTTCAACCAGGGTCCTGCTTTTGTAAATTTGTGCAAATAGGGTCCTGTTATTGNTAGTCTATGTTATTTTTCAATATATATATATATATATATATACACAGGGGATATTTTGTGAAAGGTCCTGTTTTTGTAAAATTGTAAAAAAACTACTAATAATTTGTGAATATAAAATAAGCATTAAGTCACATTCTTTCAACCAGGGTCCTGCTTTTGTAAATTTGTGCAAATAGGGTCCTGTTATTGCAAAAATTGCTAAAACCTTTTCAAGAAGTTTTTAAATTGTAAATAGATACAAGATTCCGTTCAACAATTACTGCTACTAAATTAGAGATGAAACATACAAATATTTGGTATTTAGCCTATACTACTCAACATAGAATATTCATTTCGGACGAATAATAGAAACAAAATCACTCACATTTTTAATAATTTCAATTGACATATTTCAAATAACCCAACTTAGTTATGTATCACTTTTAATTTGTTACGTTTTATGTAAAAAATTGCCAGAAATTAATTTTTATTTACATAATATTCTATTAATTAATTTTATGAATTGATCAATTATTTATTTCCGAAAAAAATTACCATTTAATATCAATAACAATGTGCACATGGTGTTTGTAAAAGTAGAAATATTTTCTTAGAATACTACATTTGGATTTTGAACTTAGGGTAACTTAATTCGTTTCAAGCCGTCTTTTTTTTCCCCCCAGGAAGGGTTTATTCGATTAACAAAACAATATTCTAGGTAAAAAAATATTATTAGATAAAAAAATTTTCGTTCTCTTTTTAATTATCTTCTGCGTACAAAAAAAAGGGAGAAAAAACATTGAGAAAAACGATTTTAGATAATTTCTTCCATCAATCACATGTCTGAATATTTCATAGAATTTTTGCTAAAAATCTTATTTGTTAATGAGATTAAGAATATTATACATTAATTTCTTAAAAATAACTACAATCATATTCATTCATATACAAATTCTAAATATTCCTAGCAATTGTATAACATTACTGCAACACTATTGTTTGTTTCTGGTGCAAATAGACTATTATTTTTTGTACGCCATCATGCAATCCTGTCAATTAGACAGTCGATATGCTTCATTGAAAAGTTAGTTAAAAGGGCGAACAAGATGCCCACCAAAATAAATCATTCAAGATGGTAAGAATTAGCAGCTGTGTGCGTGCGTGCAATAATACAATGCTGCTACAGACGCAGGCCCACAATGGAAATAATATTTCCTCGCAAGGACAGTTCATCATCAAAATCTTGCACTTGTTGTTTGTCATCTTAATGAACTATACAGACAAAAAGTCTTTTAAGAAAAATATGTCTTGTGGACCCATTGGAGAAAGGAGGAATAATTCCATCTTCAGAGAAAGGCACCGGGATTATTTCTGCTGCGGCTGCTTTCAATCCTTATGGTGAAAATTCATGATGTAGTTCAGCAGGAGATCGTAACAGTACTTGTATTCCGTCTATAAGTACAAAGAGCATCAACGAGTATAGAGTACAACTGCATGATACGATGACACTAAATTTGACATTCATCCTTTTATTTATTTATCTAAAAATTTTATATTTTATAGTTTTCTGCGGTAAGAACTCTCCCCCCCCCCTGCCATGTTAATTTCTTTTACTTCAATAAAGAAAGTATACTAGGCTTTCTCATGGAAAAAGAGAACTAGTTGTCCTGGAAAGAGCCTAGTTAAAAATCCTTTAAAAAGTGTTGCTCTTTTTTAAACAGTTTCAATAGTTTTTCAAGTAGCATGTTTTAATCTTGTGCTAAGATTTGAAAATTAACTTTTAACATATATTAGTTTTGGAAAGTGTGGTTGTTACCATAAAAGTGTAACATTTTCAAAGATTACAAATTTAACATTATAGTTTGTACAACTTCCCTCTCCACTAAGTCTGAGAACGCCTGCTGCTATGGAAACAAGAGTAGCGCATTTCAGAGAGGGTAGCTTCTCTTCACTCTAGGGCTAACAAAATAGTCAGAAGAAAAAGATTCCCTTTCTCTCGTCGACCGGAACCAAAACCTGTCCTAAACAAAGACCCCACACCCCTACAGGGGCGGATCCAGAAATTTTCCGGGGGGGGGGGGNAATTTTCCGGGGGGGGGGGTCATAAGCTCAGATCCGCCCCCCACGAGTAAATTTTTTTTCAATATTTTAAAAAAAAAATAAAACTGAGGTTTTTAATGCTAGTTTTCTCATTTATTTTTTTCATAGTGAGCAATACATCAATAATTCAAGTGTTCAAAATCTTTAAATAATAAATGTAATGCGTTTTTTAGAAACTTTGGCAAGTACAATCTCTGGTTAAACCTGTTGGAGCACTCGGCGCACTTCAGCATTGTTAATGTTTGCAATGAAACTATGACGAATTTCGTTTTAATCTTTTGGATTACGATTCTTGAAACAGTGAAGAACATAATTGGATGGGGGGAAAAATCAATTTTTCCGACCTACCTTGGTGTATATGCCCCCTTAAATAATTTTTAAAATATTTCATTTCTTTTGTAAACTATAAAAAAAATAAGTTTTTTTTTTTCAATTTTGTCCAATTAAAATCAATATATATATTTAAAAAAAATTTGTTGATTTAAAAATTCTTTAACATGTAGCCCGTGAAACTGCAATCTAAGTTGTCCAAAACAATTTTAAAGATTTTTTTTTTTTTTTTTTTTTTTTTTTTTTTTTTTTTTTTTTTTTTTTTTTTTGAGCAAACGATTTATAGTAAATGTTTTAATAACAAACATCTATTTGAATTGGGAAATGTCTTTTACCGCTGTGCCAACTGTAATTGTGATTTTATTCATTGAATTGAGAATTTATGTAAAATAATCAGCATAAAACTTAAAATATAATTGGTACAATTTAAGTAAGCCGTTTCACCAGATCCAGTAAGAATTCTTTCTAAATTTCTAAAAACAACAAATCTAATGTGATTAAAGTTAGTTGAGATTTCAATCTGTTCTGTTATATTAAATATTTATCAAAGAGTTATTATACTGAAGACTATAACTCAGATTGTTTGAAAAGTCAACAGTTAAACAACTACTTGCATTTTGAGTCTCATATTTTCTCTGTAAAAGTATTATAATTGATCTGCTTAGAGCATTCTTAGGTGTTTTGTTTAATTTATCTATATGTACAAGAATATTTGGGATTCTATACTTAAAAAATGTGTTTCTTATTATGTGAAATTAAACTGGGCTTTAATTTTCAGCATGATTTTGCAAGAAGAAATATTCCAAGTACTTACAATGTTCTCTATCAATTGTGGCCGATGTCTCCTCACCACTTTCACGGCTGTAAACACATCTACTTCTTCGTGCTCAATGGCCTGCTCAATAGCAATGCTGGCTGCACAGTACACGCCCACACGACTCCGACCATTGCTGCAATAAAGAAAAATCCATTTTCTCTTAAAACCTGATTAATATGCAGTTTGATTAACAAGCATCTCTATTTTAAAATTAAATTGTATACTAGCCAGAAATTATTGAACTTAGCAACATGAAATTGTGAAGATATCAAATAAATTTTAGATTATAAAAAGAGAGTAATGTTTGAAATTTTGTTTTACACATCAAGACAAATATTACAATTTTGTAATAACACATTTTTAGTGTTAAATTTTTATTTCAATAATAAATTACTGCAAATTAATATGATTTCCATTAAACATAATTTTAGTTTCTTTATGGCTTATGTTTTATAGAAATTTATGAAAATGCTGTTTAATTTTATAATTGTGTGCAAAAGACTTTTAACTTATTTTTAATAGATGAGCAACTCATTTGTGACAGAAGAGTGAATTGAAAATTTTCAATTCCTGTGAAATATTGCAAATTATGCAAAAAGTAAAATTAACATTAATGGATCGAAACTTTGGACCACTCTTGTGACCAAACTGTTCAAACCATATTTCCCGGATTGCGGCTACCCCCCATATTTTGAGGGTAAGAAATCAAAATACATTGTAAAAAAGGCATGTTTGTTCAGTGGAAGTATGTTTTTATGTATTATTTAGTAGCTTAAAATATAGTCTTGCAGAAATTAATTAGCATATTTAAGGTCATCCTCTTGAACCTCTAAGTTTGTGACCTTGTACATGAAAATCTGATCATTAGATCAATAGTTATTCAGTGTTTTTTTTTTGTGTGTGTGTATTTGTGCGCACTTGTACATAATAGTAAAATTGTTAATTGTAAGAAAAAAATTTTTGAAAAATTTTGTTTGCTTTGGCACAACATAAGGAAAGAGTTGGTTTTTGATGGTGTTTACCTCTATAATGTCGAAAACCAGATTTGACATTGAAAAAAAAAACCTGAAAAAGTTTTATATTTAGACACGTATGCAAAAAACTTTGAATTGGAAGTCAACAATTTAAAAAGTAAATTAATGCTTGGTAAATTTTCCATTCATTACATTCAAAATAGTTAATTTCAAATTACATATTAAACTTTCTTTATTTATTTTTTCAGTATTACTGTGAATGCGATAAAATTTCTTGTGAAATGATAATTCTACATTTCAAAGACAAAAGCAATTTTTTGGTAGGATTTTTCGTGTGAATTCTCTATTTTAGGATAGAGCATGGGAATAGTAATTAAGTTTTGTATTATTTAAAACTTTGTTTTTGAACTCTGAGTAACTGATTTTAAGTTAGTGCTATTTAGTAACTAATTAAAACATGCGTTTATTCCTCTTATGTCAAACAAACTAGCATGGCTTAAAAGTTACATTTTTACAAACATTTATAAAAATATTAGATAAGAGACTAGGTTTACAAAATTTTAATCTTTGAACTTGATTAATAATAATTAGAGCTAGGATATTAATAACCTGAAAACCATCAAAATTTAAATACCACCCTTTAAAATTTTTAAGAATATGTATTAACTTTTTTAAATAGCTATAACTTATAAATTTAATAAAAAATAAGGTAATTAAACTATGAAATTTATGAATTTTTGTTTCAACCTACAAAAACATCCGAATATTTTATTATGGTATGTTTTCTGGTATTCTTAAAATTGAAACATTGCCTACTATCCAAAATCAAATTCTTATATTTTGAAATTCTCAGTTCAATGTCAACATTTGTTTTTAAAGTATATCAGTCAACATTTAAAGGATGTCAGTCATGACTCAGTCAACATTTGTTCTTGAAGGATATTTAAAAGGCAAAATTTTTACACCAATTTATAAAGTAAAATTAGTAAAATGCTAAAAATCATTCGAAATTCGTAAAAAAAAAAGAAAGATAAACAATGTTCTAAAGAGAAAAAAAAACGGAAATTCAAAACAAATTCCTTTATCATCAACGTCCGAGCCCTGGTAATAATAAATAATGTCTTAAAAAGGTAATACCCTGATTTACTTTAAAAAAAACTGACGAAAGAGAATGGATGAATCTCAGTTGTGAAGGCAAAACGTAGAGACATGCTTGTTAAAGTTTGGTACATATTAACACTAAACATACCATAATCGGTCGAATGACTATTTAAAAACTTTTGCATAAAAAATGTGCATATAATCTTATTGCTTTTGCACATTTGTCTTCGGGATTTCTTCTAACAATTATAAGTTCAGAAATGACGAAGTAATGCGTGTTCAGTGTATTGCATTCGATTAATTGAACATTTCTGCAAAAACTGTTGCATAATTAATTCAACCAGAATAACTAAGAATTCAAATTTCAAGCAAGTACCTAAAATTTTAGATTGGCATTTTTTTGGCAATCTAATTTTTTTTTTGCCAATCCAATTTTTAGATTACTAGTTTTGGTAAGTAGCTTATATTTTATTTTGATAGCTTTACTTTATTTCTAACTAACTGTTAGTTTTTACCCAGAAAAATGTCGAAACAATCAAGACAGCACAAGTTCTTAGAAGAAATAAATAATATAGGTTAAGATTTTTCGGAAATTGATGAAAATGAATTTTCTGAAAATAATGACATACTGGTTGAACGTAAGACATGCCAAATAGGATATTGTAACGAAAATAAAACCATCAAAATTTGTTCTAAATGTGAAAAATATGTCTGCAGAAAATGTACAATGGATGCACACCCTGCCTGTGTAAAAAATGCATTGAGCAATGAATTAAAAATTCTTATTCCTTGTGTTTGTAATGCATAAAAATTGGCAATATACAATTTTGTTTAGTTATAATTAAGTTTTTTAGTTTATTTCCTACCTAGCATCCATATTTCACACATTCAATCAAGAAACATAAAGTCCGGTCATTTGACCGGCTATGGTAGAAATAGGTATACATTAAGTGTTGGTGTGTTTAGTGTTAATCAACGCTACTTGAGACTGCTGAGTCTGTTGCATTTTATTATTCTTATTCACAGAATATTTATTTACTATGTGCCTATGTAATATATAAAAGGTCAAGTGTGTAAATATCAACTTGTTCCCTTGCATTGATAAACGAATCTGGAATACAAGCATTTTTTGTGTGTGAATGATCTATTTTAATTACCTGGAGACGAGGAGAACTGGTCCGTAAGATGTCCTCTGCCTCCATCTCTCCACCATGTTCATGAGCTCGACAAGAGAATTGGTAGAGGTGGGAACTTTATGTCCCAGAGGCCAACAAGTGATGAAGAACAGCTGCGTCGTTTTAGGTTCTGCTTTCACGCCGGACATCAGTTCCGTCAAGGAAACTACCTGTTGGACAACACCATGACATATAAGTTGTATTTTTCCATGACATACACTATATAAACACTATGACATATAAGTTCCATTTTTCCGTGACATACACTATATAAACACCATGACATATAAGTTCCATTTTTCCGTGACATACACTATATAAACACTATGACATATAAGTTCCATTTTTCCATGACATACACTATATAAACACCATGACATATAAGTTCCATTTTTCCGTGACATACACTATGTAACAAAAACTTGTCTCTATCCTGTTTCTTATTCAAAAATTATCTATTTTTCACAATATTTTTTTTTAAATTGTGACATAAATTGAATAGAAGGGTTTTGGACAGGACGGTTTAAACTGTGGATTAATCCATTCTGTCCTAAACCTTGCCAACTTTGCTTTCACGGGTTGGACTGAGGTGACATCCAGAAAGCGGCAGTAAAAAGAATTGAAAGAAAGACTCACTTTCTTGAGTATCTTGAATATCCAGGCTTTGATGTTGGGCAGAGTGCTGAAGGAGACGGTCTCTATTGTGAAGACAGGACCGAACTTCTTTACTTTCTCCTTCTCAGTAGGATAGAACTGAGGATAGCTCTAAACAAAGGAAGGACATTTTAGAATGCATTTTTATCATTTTACCAGGGTGCATAGCGTTTTTAAAAAGTGCTTAAAGATGCTTATTTTCGTTTTTTAAAAGCCCTTAAAGGTGCGTTTTTTATTGGATGTTTTTAAAAAGAGTTTAATTCCCTTTTCGAAAATGAGATTTTTTTTTCCTTTTACCATGTCGATTTCCACCACGTATTATGCAAAAGCATGCTTTTCACATTGTTCTATTCAATGTTTACTCAAATCATTCAAACACAATGCATTTCGACGTACCATCGTTTTATAGCGTATGAAAGCATCAATCATTTTACATCACTGATGAAATGCTTGCGGGTCCGCATGTGCATATACTGAGCAGGATACAGTTTGAATTATTCTTGCACTCTCATGTGCAACTCGGCTGCATTTTGCAATAAATCCTCAATTTCCGGATTCATTTTCCTCCCTCTGAAATCGAACTGAAAATCTCTCTTATCTTTTTGGGTGGCTAATGTAATCAAGAAAAAGTTCTTTGTCAGAAACTGGTTATTTTATCATGATCATGTAAAGTTTTTGAAAATTATTTTCCATTTTGTATATAGTGCTTAAAAATATTTTTAAGTGCTTAAAAAGTACTTAAAAGGTGCTATGGTTAAAGTAAAACAGTACTTAAAAGAATTTACAAAAAAATTTAAATTAATTGAGAGAATGATGTTTCAGCTTTCATCCCCCCCCCACCCCTAATTCTGAAATTCCGCTCATGATTATATTTTTCCTTTAAAGAAGTCGATATTTTTTTTTAATTTTTAACAAATCACTTTTTTAATAAATTATATAATTTTTTAGAAAATTACATAATTCTTTTTTAATAAATTAATACCTTCCATGGCGACCATCTTTGTCACTTTTCAAAATTATCTAACGGCAACATATAAACTTTAAAGGTAACCAAACAAAATACACAGGGAAACTGTTTTTAAATATTCTTCAACCCCTTCTCCAATCCTAACAGCTTAATTAATTTTAAACAATATATTAACCAAATTTTTTTCACCTCCGGGGCTTTGCCCGCGTGGAAGTAAATCGATTGCAACTAAAGAGATGTCCGCGTAATTTCTAAAGTTCTTTATTTATCGAATTTTAGTAAGTTTTAAAATCTGCCTGACACACAAACCGCCGTAAGTATCAGTTCGGGTCTTTTAATGAGATTAGGCGGCAGACGTAGCAAAATTATACCCATTTTTGTCCTGAGGTAAGGTCGAAAACTCATGCCAATGCAGTCTGTGCTACTTCCTGACGCTCCTCTTGAACCATAAATTGAGTATCGTATTATATACTCAACATGGCGCATAGTTAGTGTTTTTAAAAAATGCTTAAAGATGCCTATTTTCGTTTTTTAAAAGCCCATAAAGGTGCTTTTTTCATTTAGTGATTTTAAAAAGTGCTTAATTTTCCCTTTTCGAAAATGAGATTTTTTTTCTTCTTTATCATGTCGATTTTCACCACGTATTATGCAAAGGCGTGCTTTTCATGTATTCACTGGATCTAAAAATTATTCATCGTGATTTGTATATCCGCGATGCAAAAATCTAATAACGCGATTTGTATTTCAGCGTTCGTAAATCCAATATCACGATTTATATTCACGTGATTTTAAAATCCAACATAGTGATTTGTATTTTCGCGTTCTTAAAATCCAATATCGTGATTCCTATTCACACGATTTTAAAATCCAATATCGAAATTCTTGTGAGAACCAAGTTTTTTCTTCATTTAGAGTTACTATAAGCCAGGTTAAAAAATTATATTAAATATAAATAGTATGTAAATTGATATCTTGTTAACGAGTTTTGCACATAAAAATTTCAGGGTTTTTCACTTCGTTTCACAATCACTCCTGGATTACTTTTCATCCTGGTAACAGAAACTCTGCAGATCACTTTTCATCTCAAATTATAGAATTTTTACGCTTATAGTTTCTGTCCAACTAAATTAAATTAGAACCACAAATCTATGAAAATTGAGCTGCAAATTGACTCAAAAAACTCTGACTTGTTATTATTATTAATTTTAAACTTGACTTCATTTGTAATCAATAAATAATGACTGATGGTTAATGTTATTCTTCCTTACCGTTTGGAAATAGTTGCCATTAATTAATGTTCAAAGATATCAAGCACTTACGCTGGAAGGAGGATGATCGCACAAAACGACAACGGAATTACAGTCATGATCATATACCAGGGACCAAAAGTCTGGAACAGTGTGCTGCATGGGCCATTCTGTCACAATGAACTCCTTGGAACGCAAATAACCCTGTAAAAGCAAGCATTCATTCATCATCCATGAAAATACAAACGATCTCTTTTTTATTTATTTTTATAACCGTCGTTGAACAGCCGAACCAATTTTATGGGTTAGCGACTACTAATGTTCAACACCGTAGCCTTGTCATTTTGAACCAAATTCAGAAGACAAGGGAACTCCTGACTCGAGTATTGGGAGAAATTCGCCTTCGTGCAGGACTTTTTGATGGAACTAACCCGCATTTGTTTTACATGGAGAGGAAGACCACGTGAACCTTCCACGGTTAGCCTGACGGCAAGGGGACTCTAACCCATGATCCGTTTACCACTGAGGATATTTCACGTCAGCAGTGCTGTCGGTGCAAAGCCGGAAGCAGAATTCGTATCGACTGGGATTCGAACCTGGTTCGCCGCATTGGAAGGCGAAAGCTCTATCCCCTGAGCTATCGCGGCTCGTTTGCCATTAAGGTACTCCGAGATCGGTTGACTGAATGTAAACAATAGCAAGCTTCTTAAAACCGGAAGAAATTTCTAAAACTTCCGGTGTATCCCTCCGCTTATGTTATGCTTACGAGGCGAGGCGTGAACAGGCTTCATATTCTAGGAAGTTTTATTATAGTGATTTTTGTTTAAATTAATGCGGCAAATTTTACCATTCGTAAGAATTTTCTGTCATTTATAAATTCTAGCAAATCGTGAGCCTAAAACAAAATTAATATTACCCCAGAAAAACATGTAACCTTGTGTCGTAATTTTCGTTTGGTTGTCACGAAAATGTTTGCACTAAAAACCTTTTTTCAATAAAGAAAAAATGTTGCAGTTTCAAACCTTTCATCCTAAAAGGATTAAAAATTATTTTTTAGAGCTTTTTTTTTAAAAAGTATTAGTCACTTAGGTCCATTATGACGTATTAGCTGACGTCACACTAGCTGTAGGATCCAATTGCATTTGTCCGTTAAAATTTCATGACAAGGTGGATTTTAGCTGAGCATACAAGACGTTGCGAAAAGAAACCTTATAATTACATAGATTTAAGGTTATTTTAACCTTGAGACTAGCTTTAATAAAGGATTTTTTTCACGCTTGAAAACCCTAAATCAACCTCGATTTAAGGTTCTTATTATAGAAGGTGTTTTTCCAAGGTTTTGGATATGCATAGAATAGAGCAGATGGCCACAGATCTCGTTTTAAGGTTAGAAGGTTTACACGTAAACCGCATAACAAACCTTTTTAGGTTTACATTAAAAGGTTTTTGCTGAGTGAAAATAAACCTTATTTTGCTATGTGGGACAGCATTAAAAAAAAAGTCCCGCAGTGGACTGATCGTTAAGACACGGTTCTCAGCAGATCACCGAAGTCAAGCATCACTGGCTACGGTCAGTGTGCGGGTGGGTGACCACTTGGATCAGTCTGCGTAGGGACCGAGGGTGTGCGGTATGGGTCCTCGTTAAACTGTGCTACCGTAAAGTGCTCGGCTTCGCGCGCAAGTCGTCGGGCTACCGAAGCGGGGGTGCCATCCCCTCCGCAGAGGATTAAAATTGTGATGGCATGTCTTTGGATCATCCTCCGGGATGTTTCCCAGACCGTCGCCAATAGCCCATTGTGCAGCTCTAGTGCGACGTAAATTAACAACAACAACAGCATTAAAATAAAGTGTAAGGTTAGCCATGTTTTGAGTGTTTATCACTGATAAACACTCAAAACATGACTAGAGGCCATATTTGTGCAAAATAGCACAGTTTGTTATTATTTGGGTAGCTTCATAGCAAGCTTGCGTGGTCTTCCGAATTCATTTGTTGTTTGTTTCGTTGTAAGTTAGATAGAAAGAAAGCGTTATATTGAAAATACTACAAGTATAATAATATTGAATGGTGCGTATTTCCAAGTTGCAGGCCAAAAAATCAGCCGCAAGTAGTAACCCGGAAGTCTTACGACGAATTACCATCTGCACGTAGCTTTACACAGTCAACCATCCTTCCCCCGAGCCACCACGACTGCAATAGCCTGTTGCGGATAAAAGGCTATACATTTTCGTGATTAACAGCATGATGGTGGTCACTGGTCAGAATTCTTACCGCTCGTCTTTAATTATCGATTAAGTTGAATTAATGAATTCTAATTAAATAATTTGTTATTTTTTTCGAATGTTTCTTTACTTATTATATTCCTTGCATCCAAAAAGTTACTTCTTATATAGTGCGGTGATAATACTCAATTAAGGCAATATGTCCTAGAAAGGAGAAGGCCCCAGCACAGGTAACCATAAACAAGAAATTTGATTCTTTAATAGTCCAAACGGAATGGCGTCTTTCGTATTCTAGACAGCCGCGCAGCTTAATAGCCCACACTTAGTGACATCGCTCTTATTTTTCACCCACTGCGCAGTTTATTTTTGTTATATCGGTCTACAAAATTGATGAACGCTGAAGCCTCCTTTCTTCTAGGAGGTATTGATTGAGGTCGGATTTTTCATGTGAAGTCTAGTCTATCAATCAATAGTAAATCAATCCAAATGGACATTTATAGAACATGTTGAGAGACAAGTCATTAATTAGGTTTTGGGTATTAAATATCTTTTTTTTGTAATTTAATGCTAATTGTTTGCTTATATAGCCGTATTTTTTGGAAATTTTTAAGCAAATTGAAAAATTTTGTACAAAACTCAATCTGTAAAAATGCTATCACTAGAATAAAGGTAATTCAGGGTGATTTTTTTTTTCGCACAAAACAATATTGACTTTCTAAGAATCTTAAAGAAGTAGTAAACAATATTTTATGAAGAAAAAATTCGCAGAATATTAAGAGGAGGGAAATATAACTTACATCAACAAAAACGGCATTTATGTAATCCGTACTGTCGTTGCTTTGAAATGAAGATAAATAGGGTCTAAAATTGTCAGCTGCAAAGAAAAAAAAAGATAAGAAAATTTTATTCATTCATGCTTGCTACAATGCATTTTTATGCAAGTGGTGAGAAAAATAAATAGTAATCCTATCCATGGTTGCAAGTTAATGTTCTTTTTTTGTTCTTTTTATAATTTAATGTACTTTTTTCTTATACTTCGAATGAAATTTTGGAAAGAAATCAGTAGAACTCAAAAGTTTTCGGGGTAATAAAAATCGGGAAAAACTCAGTATTTGGACCCGGCAAACTATTAATATTATTTCCTAAACTATATATTTGTTATCGCGAATGTCAGAAATAAAGAGAATGTCGACTTTCGGCCGGTGAATGTCAACAATCACATAGTCACTTTCCGTTGAGGATGATTAAGTGAAACATCAGTGTTTGGAGTACCGAATAAATGCATAGTGGGCAGTGGCACTTGATCTTAAAACATTGATGTAGGGCATACCGGGCAAATGTATACCGGGCAGTTTCGCTTAACTAGACCTAGTATATATTTCGGACATTTACTAAAGTGACAATGTGATTGTCAACAACCACTAATTTCGGTCATTCACAGTAACATTATCATTAGCACACTAGTTGAATTTTGAGAACTTTAGATACTCAGAAACTGATTAATCTATCTACTTTTGATAAGATCGATTTGTCAATAAAATATAAATAAATTCTGTATGTAGCGGTCAGGAAATGACTGCAAATTATATTGCCATCAAGCATGGAACTTCAGTAGAAATTTGAGTGCTCTTGCTATTCGGAAAGAGGTGGAAATTTCGATCGCAAATTTTCATCAATACAAACACAAAAGTGAGTTAATAGTTATAATAAACACTGTTGATAATAAGAAAACTTTTATAAATTTATGAAGAACTAAAAAAACGATGTTTTTTTTTAGTACATATTAATACTACAGAAAAATCTATGTAAAAGGTATTAAACTCCTCTCTTAAAAATCGAGGTATTTTTCTGAAGCCATATCTATATTTTTTAATTAAAAATAAATAATAATCTATTCAGATGATGTTTTCTCAAGCGGCTGTCAACTTTTTAGTAAAAGAAACTGCACTGAGGAGAGCCAATTTGTTCTGCATAATAGTAATTTTAGCAGTTCAATAGTTGTAAATAATAAACGAACTTTTTTTCAAAATTTTGATTAAAAAATGGTCATAGAACCGTATAAAGTAACAACTAGCTTATGAAAATAAGCGTGAAATGTATAGTACTCACGAGGTACTGTAGAAATAGTTCTGTTCTTATGCCTATTCTCCAGTCGATGACCTCCTGCTCTGTCCCCTATTGTGAACTTAGCAGATGTGTTGCAGATTTTCTGAAATTAAAACCCCCACCCCAACATAAATTATAAACAAAATGACATTCCTTAAAACATTTTTTATTTTAAAAAGGGACATGAATGAAACAGAAGGGAAGCATTGATATTGTATAATAGCGGTATTCAATTAGTTTTTGTTCAAGAGTTACAGTAAACAGTGCGCATGCGTCGTCATTGCTCGCGTTGCTATAGCGACCGCTGCCATTTGATAATTTTTAGGATTCTTTTTTTTTCCTAAGGTATTTTTAAATGGGATTCGCACAATATACAGTTAGTACTATCAATTAAAATAGAACAACTTATAATTATATTTTTCAGTAAGACTTTCAACTTTGCTATACACTATTTTAACTTTGCATTTATTATTTTACGTAATATTAACGGAATGAATTTTACCAACAACAATTCGGTAAGATTACTTTCGGATATTTTACGAAAGATTGACGAAAGAATATTTACTATTTAGATTTAGTGAAAATGATTCTGCGTATTTTACGTATTATTGAAATAGCAAATTTACCATTTAAATTTCGGTTCCAATTTATTGACGCAAATTTTGTGTTTTTTGGATAACCACTTTTTTGTATAATTTGACGTTTCAAGTTACATTACATTTTGATGTATTATTGACGTAAATATTATATAAAACTAGGAGGCTTCGCCCCCTGCTCGCTGGCGCTCTCCAACCCCCGGAACTGCTTTCACAGTTCATTTCGGATTGCTTCGCTATCCAATGCTCGCTTTGCTCGCTCATTGGATACGTTCTTAACGTCTAGTTTTTGTATACTNGAAAAGAAATACAGCCAAAATTTGGGAGCCACGTAAGAGAATTATATATAATAGATTACGTACTCATTCTTACTTAGTAAAAAGTGGTTGGTAAAATAGTCGTAAAAAACGAATTTGCTTGCGTAAATTTTCCGTTTTTTGGATAACTATTTTTTCCTGTGATTTAAAGTTTCAACTTACATAAATTTTGACGTAAATAATACGTAAAAATAACGTACTTATTCTAGTCAAAAGTGATTGGTAAAATATCAAAAAAGTGTTCGGTATGGAAATAAAAAAAACTATTTGAATTACCCAAATATTTATGACTTATCCACACAAAAAAATATCTGAAAAAAAAATCATTTTTAAACTTCATTCCAAAGGTTTCGTTTTCCAATATTGTATACTTTAAACAATCGAGTATTCAGTATGAAGTGTAATAAATAATTGTTTGTACCAGATAGCGCAAGGTAACAGAAAAGAGAATTATAATATTGTTAACTATTTTCGTTTACTCTTACTTTAATAACCACTCGCATAATCTTTTACACGAACTGCGTTACATTAGCTAATGATACGTTGATGTTGTCCGAAACTAACATCGACATCAAATATTCAATTCCCTTACGTCAATTCACTAAAGTAGACAGGCTAGATGCGAGTTATCTGTGCATTCATTTATCTCCTTGTACGAGATGCAGCTTCATAAAATATAAGTCAATATTTTTTATTTTGCATGCATTATCTGTAGTCTAAAGAAAAACGATTGCGATTGACTTTTCAGGGGTGCATTAAGATTTGAAGAACATAACTTAAAAGTGTAATCCTGTAATTGTCCCTGGGTAATCCTCCTACCCAGATAGACTGCAGTCGCGTTCCGCAGTGGCTTGATCGTTAGGACACGGTTCCCAGCAGATCACCGAAATCAAGCATCACTGGCTGCGGTCAGTGGGCGGGTGAGTGACCATTTGGATCAGTTCGCGTAGGAACGGAGGGTGTGCGGTATGGGTCCTCGTTAAGCTGTTCTACTGTAAAGTGCTCGACTTCACATGCAGGTCGTCGGGCTACAGAAGCGGGGGTGCCATCCTCTCTGCGGATGATCAAAATTGTGATGGCATGTCTTCGGATCATCCTCAGGGATGTTTCCTAGATCGTCGCCAATAGCTCATTGTGCAGTTCTAGTGCGACGTAAACTACAAAGGATTACAGTCGCGTAATATTGCATTGTTTTGCTTCTTATGGTAGAGTAGTAGTAAAAGATATTTTATTTATGCCGTGCTAGAACTGGGCGATGGTCTGGGAAAAATACCCAAAAAGGATCCCAAAACGTGCCATCTCAATTTTGATCCTCCGCAGAAAGGATGCCCCACCCCCCTGCTTCGGTACCCAGACGACATGCAAGCTTTACGATAGAGCAGATTAACAAAAAGATATACCGCGCACCTTCGGTCCCTTCGCACTCTTATGGTTGAGGGAAAACATATTTTACCGTATATTCCCTTTGGTATTCATTTTGCCTCGTGATCTGGCTCTTGACGGATTTCTGTTTCAGTCGTAGCGAAATTTCAGAGACTGGAAACCACGTCTGACCGCTGATGAGACCTTCTTCTAGAGCCTCGTAGATGAACTTATACTGACCCTATGGAAGTAAAAGAAAGAACTTAAACCAAAACTGTCACCGCCAATTTCTAATTGTACTAGAGAGATTATGTAAAATTATTTTATAAATCATGCAAATTTAATATAATTTTTTTTGTCCAATGAAGAAAAACAAATTGGTTTAGAAAACGTACCACGTCTTCAATCATGCCTCTCCTGGCATTTCGTAAACTTTTAACGTAACCGTAGACATCATAGACACTGTCCTCGTCTGCTAGGTCCAGGTTAGAATCGATACAAATGTAAGCTCCTGTTCTTCCACAACCGTCGCTAGAAAAAAAACAAATTGCTTATTTTTTTTTATTTCATAACCATCGTTGAACAGCCGACCCAATCTTTTGGGTTTACGACTACCAATGTTCAACTCCGTAGCCTTGTCATTTTGAATCCAGTCCATAAGTAAAGGGAACTCCTGGATCAAGTAGTAGGAGAAATTTGCCTACGTGGAGGACTTTTTGATGGAACTAACTCGCATTTGGCTTTACATGGAAAAGAAAACTACGAAAACCTCTCACTGTTAGTCTGACTGTAAGGGGACTGTAAACCATGATGCGTCTACCACTGGGGATACTTTACGTCAGCACTGTTGTCGGTATAAATTTATACGGAATTCGTATCGACCAGCCATCTCCGGGATTCGAACTCGGTTCACCTTACTGGAAGGAGAACGCTGTATCCCCTGAACCATCACTGCTCACAAATTGCTTATTAAGTTATTATTTAAATGTGTAGGAAAAAGGCGATACAATACAAATCCTTTGGGGAGATTTCTGTATCGTGATCTGTGGCAGAATAATCGCCGAGTTTTGGTGGGTAAAGGGCAACGGCCCGCGGGAAGCTTTAAAGAAAAATCACAGAAAGGGACCAACTCGAAAGGTATGTCTCGTAACCTTCACCAGACAAATATCTACATGTTTTTGTTTTTTTAAATTACAAGCTTAAAATCTATTTGGCACCTTGGCGACTGTAGTTGGTGCGACAGATCACGATACGGAAATATTCCCAATGCCTTAATGATCTAGTTATTATAATGTTTATGAAGATCAATATAGGCTGCTCATGTATTTGATTAAAAAGGATAGTTTTGGATAAGCCGAATCAAACTGCGCATGGAGTTGAAAGAGATTTTTCAATTATAAAAAGTTTAGAACTCTAGGGAAACATTGCGACCCATAGTAATGCATCGATGAACAATCTTGGCTACCATGCTACTGGAAACGATAATAAACCTCTTAATGGGAGCATAATTTTAGAGAAAACGATCATAAATGTGCCTTTCTTCATTTTTTTTATTTAAGAAAATTATATAAAACTAAGTGTATAAATGTATTTAAATTTAAATGTTTAATGAGTGCTGACATCTAGTTTAAAACAAGCTAACTTCACATTTCAAACTGGCTGGTACTGCCATCTGGTGCATAGATTGAAAAATAAACATGATTCTGGGCTCGAGAAATAGTTCGGTTTAATCTTTTTGGCGCGTTATTTTCAACACTTACTTAACAGTGACAGATATTTCAGAAAAATGGACCAAAAATGGAAAATTTTTTGACTGTTTAATTTTGTTCTCTGTATTATTATAGAAGTTAGAAAATGGTTTTTATTTCAAAAATGAAATTTTAAATGAAATAACTACTGTATTTATAATTTTTACATACACATAAAAAAGTAACGGATTACACACATATCTTATTCAACTCGAGCAAATTAAACAAAATTTTGAAGCTAAGTATAATATAACTAGTATAATATAAAAACACAACATTATGATTTTTAATACATAAATTTTACACATCTCTAACAGTATGGTATATCCCTAAGCCCACACCCACATTTAACTCCCTCGACTGAAGTCGTAATCGGTGAAAAACTAGGACCACTGATGCCATCTATTAGGAAAATAGTGAACTAAGTATCCTAAAGTAGAAACGAATCCAGCCAGGTTTCACGAAACAGAAACATTAATTTTTCTCCTGCCCGAAGTCAGTTCGGTCATCACTAATAATGCACGCAGTAGTTGCCCGAACTGGATTCGGGTGACACTGGAAAAGGGTTAAATTAAGAAACCGGTTTAAAGTGACCAGTATGAAGGGAAACTGGTACCTGCAGTGTACGATGAGAGGACCGTTCTCCGTGTAACGGCTGAGGTACATCTTGACCCTCCTCCTGAAATCCAGAAGAGAACAAGGGAATGGATTGGTGTGGGTGGGCCATGCCACGTAGTGAAGGTGAGACAATTCCCTCACTTCATCACCCTGGAAAATAAAAACATTTATTTTTCTCCTTAATCAAGACTGTTTCTTAAAATGGAAAGTGATCAACTCTGATAGTTTGATAAGATGTAAGATGAACCTTTTTAATTTGCATGCTCCGAATGTTGTAGTTGGCAAGGTCCGTCTCGGACAGAAGAGTCACCTCGATGTCCCCGTACTTCTCTGGATGGTCAAGTTCGATGGGCCAATACCTGTCACACATCACCTGCACAGATAAAACGGTGTTTAACATTAGGTGGTGATGCTGCAAAATTTGAATAAAGCAAAATTATTGTATTATTTGCATGATGACCCAAAAATGGCTGACAATTAGAAAAATCAATTAACAAAAAAAAGGTACAATTCGCTATGTTCGGGAAATTTTTCTCATCACGTTTCACAATTTGTTACAAAGTTTGTCAACATATGGCATTAGTTCTATGTGATGAATCCTATGTTGTTGTAGGCCATTAAGGTAGAGGGGTTCTTGATGAATCAAAAAAGTCAAGCATCACTTTCTGCTGTCAGTAAGCGGACGGGTGACCACTTTGAACATCTTAAGTAGGAACCGAGGATTCACGATATAACAGTTTAACGAGGGTGCACCTCGTTAAACTGTTCTAGCTTAAAGTGCTCGATTTTGCGTGCAGGTCCTCGGGCTACCAAAGCGGTGGGGCCATCCCCTCTGATAAGTATCAAAATTGTGGTGGCATGTCTTCGGATCATCCTCGGGGATGTTTTCCAGACCGCCGCCAATAGCCCATTGTGCAGTTCTTGTCTGGGACATAAATATTACTCTTATATACACTTTAATGACAGTATTAAGCTTTAAGGATAATACTACGCTTTCATGATAATATTACGCTTTTATATACACTTTAAACTAATGGCGCTATCGAAAATCGCTATCTCTTTTAATAGGTTTACATAACAGTTGTTAATAATAATATATATGTTATCGGCAAAGTTTGAAATCCGGCATTGTATAGAATGCCTAAAACTAGCCCGCAATGTATGAAGCGATTTATATTCCACACATTTCCTAGGCATTCTATGGAATGCCAAATGAGAAACCGGCAATGATTAAATTACATCTTCATCAAAATGTCATTCAAAAATGTCAAATTCAAAATGTCATTCAAGCTTGCCATGTTGCAACAAGTACGTTTATTTCTAATTTTTTAGAAGAAAAATTTTCCCTCTTAAATAAAAAAGGCATAAATTGTGTTTTGTACAACTGTCATTTCTTTTTACGCATTTGGAATAAAAAATTTTTAATGGCACTCTCCAATTATTTTTTCAGGATAACATTTTTATTTTTGAAAAATGCACATCATTTACATAATAACCTCATCAGGACGTTTTCTTTTTTTCATACATTGCCTAAATAACATTTGTCATTCTATAGAATGCCTAGGTATTATATACAACGCCTAGGGAAAGCATGTAATACTTCTCATATTTCATACCTTGCCTGATATCATCCGACATTACATACAATGCCTAGGCATTCTATACAATGCCGACGCTTTTTTGCCGGTAACATATAAACCAAAGCAATAAATCGTTAAAAGCTAATGAAAAGTTACTCTTATAGTGTAGATATATTTCAATTCTCAATGAACATACAACAAATTAACGTTTATCTAAACATGTTTTAAACTAAAATTATTAATTTTGATTTGATTATATATTTAAAATAAAAACCGTGATTTTAGGATAATGTCTTACACACATATTGTTATACACATACACATATTGCTGCTTTAAGCTGCTTGGTCATGGAAATTTAGTGTTCACAGTCTGATTGGCTGATGCAAAGTAGATGTGTTTCTAATGACATTTTTGTTTACTTCGGCAATCTAACAGATTTCGTTGATTTATATCCTGCCTTCTACAATAGTGATTCATTTGTTTTTCTAAACGATTTTTTCCCTAATTTAAATATTAGTTTACTACTCCTCATCTGTATATCTTTTTTTTGTTTAATCTTCATGTCTGATAAGGAGTCTAAAAGTGTATATTAAGTGCGGACATTACTAAATACCATTTTACATTTCACCAATTCTTTCAGTTTTTTTACCACTTGCATTAAAAGTACTTACTGTAGTAGTAGGCTATTAAGGAAAGGAGTACGATTGTTTTTATTTTCCAGTGGCGCCATCTATGGCTGAGAATTCGACTTCTGCCCCACCCATATGTCACAACAGTTTATAAGCGGATCCATTCATACATCCATTCATCCACAGATCGTAATTTCGACCTGCACTAGAGAACAATCAATCTCTAATTCAGTACCCCCAGAGGTATGATTTGTTATCGGAACATGGAAGACTTTGTGACATGACAGATTTAACGCGCACCAGTCGCCATTTACTACACGAGGAGTCTTCGGCCGGCTGGATTCAAACTCTCTTTCTCGGCGAACGTGAGTCCAGCGCCCTGCCAACAAGGCTATGCATCTCGACCCTTATTAGAGTACTTACCCTAATGAAGTCGAAGACTTTTGTGAGCATGACAATGACGTGAGAATTCTGCTCCCATACTGCTCTCCAGAAATCGCTTATAGTATGCTCATTTGGACCTATAACAGAAATCAAAATATGCAGCAGAGTTTTTCGAAGTTCTTTCGCTAAGAAAAATAATAAAATTCCACAGCTTAAGTGCCTTACATTTGAGGCAAATCTATAATTTTCAGATTTAATATGCCGTAAACAAATATCTGGGCTTTAGAAAAGGCTAATTATTTAAATATTTTAAAAATTGCGAAACTATTTTCTTAGAAATCGCCAACTTGGCGAGATTTTTCCAGCTGGGGGAAAACCATCAAAATTAGCAAATATTTCTTGAGAAATTCAGATTAAGTAATGGTAGGGTCACTTTTTAGGTATTAAAAAAAATTAGAAAACAAGCACTTTTTGGGAAACTGTGGCAAATAGAGCACTGGCCTAACAGTCGTAACTGTTACACACAGGTTGCAACAGCAAATTTTATGTTTTCGATATAGCTTTGTAATTTTGAACCCAATTTAGAAGAAAAGGGAACTCGTGGATCAAGTATTGGGAGAAATTAGCCATCGTGAAGGATTTTTTCCTGGAACTAACCCGCATTTGCGGTGCATGGAGAGGAAAAACTCTCAGTGTTAGCATGATTCTGATCCATATTCCGTCTACGTCTGAGTATATTTTACGTCAGCAATGAGGTCAGTATTCGTATCGACCAGCCATTGCTGGGATTCGAAACTAAGTCACCTCATTGGGAGACGAGCACTCTATCCCCTGATCCACCACGGCCCTTCATATTACGATAACATTGTTAAGATATTTTGAATGCTTCAACCAGTGTCTTCTTTATGTGACGGACAAGGCCCGGTTGTCGCCTAGGCCCACTAGGCACGAGCCTAGTGGAGGCTGGGGGCTAAAAATAAATATTCAAGGTCCTCAAAATTATAAATAAATCTTCCTTTTGCTTTTAATCTATAAAAAAATCTCGTGCTTCATTAATAAAACGACTAATTACCGAAATAAAATTCTCACAATTACAATCTCACAGTTAATTACTATTCAACACATTCATAAATGTATGGCAATTAAAGCAATAGACTGTATTATATAAATATACAACTTGGAGATAAAATAACGTGAGGTGCTTAGAGCTCCATAACACGTGTACTTATCAGAAGGTTAAAAAAAATTGACACACATGTGGTTTTAATTTCTAAAAAGAAAAAAAAAATGTTAAAAGTTGCTTGCACTGGAAAATTTGCGCTTGGAGCATAATACGTGTAATCAATAAATGCATATTTGTCAACTGAAGCAGTAAATATTTTTTATATTAATAAATTGCATTTATTTATAATTTACATATGGGATTCAATGTGCTCGTATTGCTTTACACATCAAGGGAATGAACACAGATATATTGCGAGCTTCAGCTGAAAAGGTCGTATACAGCATACAAATATTAGAACTTCAGAATGTTAGTTACATTGTAAATAAATACTGTTAATTATGATGAAAAGTTAGTTACTTCTTCACTTGTCTAATATGATTCATTTATTGCACGTATTATGCAGTATTCCCCCCAATATTCAACTTTTGAAACTATATATATTTTTTGTTAAAACGTGAAACCCCTTTATTCTACTGAGTTGATTGGGTTTTGAACCAGACATCTTTTTTTTTCCCGTAAGAACTACTGGTTTCGGAACGATCTTAAAATCATCTAAGTGTCCTCGATGCAAACAACTCAGTGTTTAAATTGGATAGCTCAAAAACAATAAAAAAAAGTGTTTTCTACGTTGTAATGTCAGCTGACGTCACTAACGAATCCATGACGACAATCTTTAGTTGCTGAACAGCGGCGTCTCGATCGTTAGAGAGAGATAGTGGGTATAAGGACTTTACCTCGCATTGATACGGTAGTTCAAAAAATCTACTTCAGTTACCCTGAATAAGCATTTTTCCCTATTTGCTTTAAAAACCACTCTTCTTAAGCACTCTAGTACTTGTTTTAAACGAGCGGCTAACTCTTCAGAACTTTATAGAACGAGCTTATCAAAATAAAGAACAACCCCTTCTAAATTTCGAAACAAATCTTCGATTAAATTTCTAAAAATACCTGAGATCCGAATTGAAGCCTAATACGCAACTTTATGCGTGACAATAGTTTGAGCTTCAGTGGAAGCACCATCAAACGATAGTTGTAAATATGCCCGAACCAAATCTATCATAATATATCAGAAGATCTACTTTAAAAAACCCAAAAAATCTACTTCAGTTACCTCAAAATAAGCATGCTTATTTTGAGTAGATTTTGGGGTTTTAGATTTTTTGGGTTACCGTATCAATGCGAAGAGCATCCCAAAATTAAGTCTTTATAAACTTCTTCTGGAACGAGTCGTCAGCGTCGCTGGTCCGCAACTAAAAACTGTCGTCATGGTTTCGATGACGGAAAGTGGAGTCGGCTGACATCACAACATTCTATGTTAAAAATGTTACGTTGCATTAGATGTCATTTTCGTTTCATGTTTTATTCATGCATGCAAAATTACATAATAGATCCAAGACACTTACCCTGAGTAGCGATGTAAGCGTTTGGTTTTAAAATGCCCTAAAAATAAAAAAAGAGAAATTATTATTAAACTGTTTTATATACAGTCCCTGACCAAACTATTAGACGCATTATAAGATTCTAGGCAAAATCTTAATTATCAGAAAAAACTATACAGCTTTATTGTATTTACGAGACTGAAACCGGTTTGCACTTGTTTACGTTAGTGTAGCAATGGGTTACATGAGACAATATATAATGTATATTTGACGACTGGATAGATTAGACGATATATTATACAAATATAGAATATTTATTATATCAGATATTATATTATAATGATTAGACCAAATTATTAGACGCGCTGAAGTGTTTTAATAATGACATGCTTTGCACGGGTTTATATTTAGACATACATGTAATGGGTTTTTTCAGATTTTTTATAGACTTTCTATTTGTATTTATGCTTAACGTATTGCATTACAATATTAACCAATTAATACACGAACATAAACAAGCGTAAACCGGTTTAAGTCTCGTAAATACAATAAAGCTGTATAGTATCACGTGATGATTAAGATTTTACTACATAGAATCTTATAATGCGTCTGATAATATGACCAGGGACTGTAACTACAATAAATAAAATAAAACAACATAAATAAAGCACAAATTTAAAAAAAATGGAAGTACTATAGTTCTGATTCGATAAACAAGAAACCTTCAACGCAGTTTAAACCAAATGATGTCTTAACTACAATAATATCTTTTGTTTATAAACATTATGGGGGGTCGATAGAACCCAAACTATGATGCGTCTATTTCTTTACCTTTATTTGTGTTTTGCTCACGTTTGTTTTGTTTTATTCATAGGTAGCACAAAGTATACCACTATCCTCATTTGGTTCGATACACTTTATATCCTGCTAGAAAAAATATTTTAAGATGAAAATCGTTTTTTTTTTTTTTTTTTTTTTTTTTTTTTTTTTTTTTTTTTTTTTTTTTTTTTTTTTTTTTTTTTTTTTTTTTTTTTTTTTTTTTTTTTT